TACATCAATAAACTGAAATTCATCACAATTAAAAACTTTTGCCTTTCAAAATACTGTTGAGAAAATGAAAAAGCTGAGCTGACCCCATAGCGCAATGCTTAAACATATGGGAGTCAGGTCTCACATGGCTGACTGTGGTTCAAATCCCAGCCCTGGTGGTTTGAAAAATATGCTGGGTATATGTGTGCTTGTACAGTATCCTGATGGGATGAAAAAATAGAGGGAAAAGGACTATAGTGTAACCAAACCCCACTAGGGGAGTGTGGGTGAGTGCTCTCTGTGTTTCTATTTCTCCTCTCTGATGTGTGCACATGTGCCCTCTGGGGGAAGGGGGAGGGAAGAAAAGAAAAGGAAAAAAAAATGAAAAGCCAGCCATATCCTCAGAGAAAATATTTGCAAAACTTATATGTGACAAATTTAGAATAGATTAAGATAGCTTACAACTCAATCATAAGAAGACAACATGAAAATTAGCAAATTATTTGAATAGACATTTCATTGAAGATGATACTGGATGGCAAATCAGTACATGAGAAGTTTCTCAACATTGGTCATTAAGAAAATGCAGATTAGGGGGACCAGCAGTTAGCGTAATGGCTATGTTGCCGGACTTCCATGCAGTAGACCATGGTTCACGTCCCAGACCTGGTGGCTTAAAACTCACACCGGGCGCGTGTGCGTGCGTGCCCAAGATCCCGAGAGGAGAATGGAGGAGAAGGGATTGCCGCATGGCCATCTTCTCTCGGGGGGGGGGGGGGGGTTTTTTGTCTTTTTCTGTCTCTCTCTGTCTTTGTGGTGTTGGCGGGCGCCCTATAGAAAAAAAAAAAAAAAAAAAAAAATGCAGATTAAAACTATGAGACACCACTAAATTTCTTGGCTAAAATTAAAAGGACTGACACATTAAGTGTTGAAGAGTTGAAGTAATTACAACACTGATGGTGAGAATGTAAAGTGGTACAACAATTTTGGAATAAAGTTTGGCTATCATTTAAAATGTGAACATACATCTACCATGTATTTATTTAAAGGAAATATAAGACTTGCACATGACTTCTCATAGCAATTGTATTTATAATAGCCAAAATCTGGAAATAATGCCCGGATTCATGAACAACTCGTGACATATCCATAGAATTAAATATTACTTAAGAATGAACCATTTCTTTCCAAATTTCTAGGCAACTTCTGAATCATGCACATTCACCTTACAGCTGAGGCTAACATGACTGAACTGAGCTTTCAGTTGCTTCCTACCATTTGTTAGACTGAGTTTGTAGCTTGAAACCTGCCAACTTTAACAAAAATATTATCCAATAGAAGACTGCTCTAGAATACTGAGCATCCACAGCCTAACAGTGTAACATCTTCAAAGGAAAAAACAATCAACAAAAGTTAACCTGGAGATATTTAAATGTCAGAAATATTGGACAAGAATCTGACAGCAGTTACTATGACTGTTTAATAAGATAAAAAATACATGTTCAATAAACGAAAGGGTAGGAAATCTCAACAGGCAAATAGAAATATTAAAAATGTTTTATTTATTCATGACTATCATTATTATTAATTTTTAATTTGTTATAGGGCACATGCACTTACCAGAGACAGACAGAGAGAGAGGGGAAGTGAGAAAGCAAGCCACCAGGTCTGGGACTCAAACCGTGGTTGGCCATGTGAGAGCTCAGCACCTTAACTACCACACCACCTGCTGGCTACTAGAAACTACTTTTAAAAAATCAAATTTGGCTTCTAGGATGGAAGGTGGGGGTGGGGGAGGCAGTAGAGAGGGAATAAAGAGTTCACCAGATGGTGTTAGCAGAAATTAGATAACAAAGAGTCAGTAAACTTAAAGACAGAAATCACTGAATCTGAAAAGGAACTAATCATGCACATTCACCTTACAGCTGAGGCTAACATGACTGAACTGAGCTTTCAGTTGCTTCCTACCATTTGTTAGACTGAGTTTGTAGCTTGAAACCTGCCAACTTTAACAAAAATATTATCCAATAGAAGACTGCTCTAGAATACTGAGCATCCACAGCCTAACAGTGTAACATCTTCAAAGGAAAAAACAATCAACAAAAGTTAACCTGGAGATATTTAAATGTCAGAAATATTGGACAAGAATCTGACAGCAGTTACTATGACTGTTTAATAAGATAAAAAATACATGTTCAATAAACGAAAGGGTAGGAAATCTCAACAGGCAAATAGAAATATTAAAAATGTTTTATTTATTCATGACTATCATTATTATTAATTTTTAATTTGTTATAGGGCACATGCACTTACCAGAGACAGACAGAGAGAGAGGGGAAGTGAGAAAGCAAGCCACCAGGTCTGGGACTCAAACCGTGGTTGGCCATGTGAGAGCTCAGCACCTTAACTACCACACCACCTGCTGGCTACTAGAAACTACTTTTAAAAAATCAAATTTGGCTTCTAGGATGGAAGGTGGGGGTGGGGGAGGCAGTAGAGAGGGAATAAAGAGTTCACCAGATGGTGTTAGCAGAAATTAGATAACAAAGAGTCAGTAAACTTAAAGACAGAAATCACTGAATCTGAAAAGGAACTAAAAAAAAAAAAGATGGAAAAAAGACAGAGGTTCAGGGGCTATGGAAGAGTACTAGGACGTCTAACATGTATAGACACTGAGTTGCCAAAGGAAAATACAAAGAAAATGGAGCGATACAATATAAACAGAGAGATGGAAACTAAAAAAGAATTTTAAAAAATGCAAGAAGTAAAAACAATATAATAAGAACAAAGAATGGCTTTGATGAGCTCATCAATAGACTGAACACAACTAAGGAAAAAATAAGTGACCTTGAAGAAAAATCAATAGAAACCGAAACGGAAATGCAAAGAGACAAAAGAATAAAAAAGATGAAACAATATTAAAGAACTGTGGAACAAATACAAATGGTGTCACCTACACATAATAGAAATACCAAGAGAAAAAGGACGAACAAAACAGAAAAAATATTTGAAACAATATTGACTGAGAATTTTCCAAAATTAACAGTAGGCACCAAGCCACAGGTCCAGGAAGGCTCACGGGACACTGAACAGGATGAATACCAAAAAAGCAATAGCTAAGGATATAACATTCACATTTCAGAAAATCAAAGCCAAAGAAAGAACCTTCATCAAAGCAAGAGAAAAATAAAACCTTATCTATAAGAAGAAGGATAAAAAAGCCATTAGATTCTCTTTAGGAACAACACAAGTAAAGAGAGAGTGGCATGAAATATTTTAAGTGTTAAGGAAGAACCACCAACCTAGAATTCTGTATCTAGAAATGTTTTTCTTCATAAGTAAGGGAGAAATAAAAATGTTCTCAAGCAAACAGAAGTTGAGGGAATTAACTTGTCTTATAAGAAATGTCAAAGTTCTTCAGAGAGAAAGAAAATCGTATGTCAGAAACTTGGACAAACATAAAGAAAAGAGTGTTAGGGATTAAATGAGGTAAATCATTTTTCAATTTTCTTATTCTTAATTTAACATGCAACAGGTGGTTCAAAATAATAATAGCAACGGCACACTTAATGATATAGCTTATTGATAAGTGAAATAAATGACAGTACTCTTATAAGAGATGGGAATGAGGAATTGGAATATTTTGATTCGTGACACTTTTACTACCTGTAAAATGGATGGTATAGTGTTATTTCTTTCTTTTTTTTTTTTTTTTTAGTGTATTAATCCTCTCATGAAAAATCCGCACAATCACCGCAGAGAGTCATTGCAGAATCTTTACTCCTTCGACTGTTCTCCAGTCTCCAGCTCGCTTTTTGCCAGCACCAACGTTGGGCTTTGCAGTCCCCCTGACTTTCTTCATTCTGTCCTTGCGTTCCTTTCGCTGTTTTCTTGACGTCTTTTTCTTCTCATAAAGGCCATGTCTTGCAAGTCTATGTGTGGGTTCATTTTTCTTCGCATAATCCAAAGAATCGTAAATCATGCCAAAGCCGGTTGTCTTGCCACCACCAAAATGGGTTCTGAACCCAAACACAAAGATGACATCTGGTGTGGTCTGGTACATCTTTGCTAGTTTTTCCCGAATTTCGGTCTTAGGTACTGTTGCCTTCCCGGGGTGAAGGACATCGACCATTTGTTTCCTCTGAAGTCGTCGGTTGGTCATGAATTTCCTGGTTCGGACAGTTACTGTGTCATTCATGATGGCGGTATATCCTCAGGCAGCCAGGGAGGAAAAGAGCAGTACAGTGCTATTTCTAAGAGGGTGTAAGCTAATTGCAAATGTATATTGCAGTATGAAAGGTAACCAGTGGAAAAAAGATTATTAAAAAGCATAACTGACATACTAAGAAGAAAACAAATGAAATAGTATAAAATGATCAATTGAGAATGTAGAAACAATAGAAGGGGGAAAAAAAAGGGAGAGGGCAACTCCATAGCCTAGTGGCTAAGGGAGTTGGATCTCATGTGGCCAACCATGGTTGGAATCCCAGTGCTAGTGGCTTGAAAAATATGCTGGACATATGTGTGTGCATGCCCCAAATTCCAATGGGATGGAGTAATGGAGAAGGGGTTGACATGACCACACCCTATTGGGAGATGCTTTCTCTCTCCGTCTCTATCTCTCTCTCAAGTGAGTGCATGCACACTCCGGCAAGTAAAAAAGAAGAAGGGGAAGAAGAAGAAGGAGAAGAAACAAAAACAAGGGCAATGTTTAAAAATTTTTTAAAAATATGGTAGATGTTAATCTAGCCACAACAACAATCCTTTAACTATGAATGGTTTAAATATACCAATTTGAAAATGCCAAAATATTGGTAGATAAGACAAATACAGTATCTTCCATTTCTCTATCCTGTCAGGATTTGGGGCACACACGTCCATGCACCCAGAGTGTTTTTCAAGCCACTAGGGCTGAGATTCTAACTTTGGTCAGCCGCGTGGCAATCACTTCCCTCCACAAAGGGCTTAATTGATGTGTGATGGGGCCAATGACTTCTGGTAGCTTTATGAGGAGAGAGTGACCAGGGCAGACGGACACAGATAAACACACTCTCTGCTCAAGCTGCCTCACCATGTGATGTCTTCTGCTGTGCTATCCAACAGGAAGAAGACCCTTGCCAAATGTAGCCCCTTGACCTTGGACCTTGGAAACCATGAGCTAAATAAACCTCTATTCTTACAGATTATCGAGTTTCAGTATTCAGTTACTAAACATCAGGGAAGGACTAAAATAGAAAATTGGTACCAGAAGTTAGGTGTCACTAAAAACGAATATCTGAAAACAGAAACATCTTTGAGTAATGGGCAGAGATTGAAAAAGGCTTGGAGGAGTAGGCTAGGAAATCCTAGAATGTGTTAAGGGTGATTCTGGCGAGGGTCAAAAGAAGAGAAGATTGGGGAAAGCTTGGAATTTCTTAGAGATTGGTTAAGTGGCTGTAACCATAATGCTGACAGAAATATGTACAGTAAAGGACAGTCTGATGAAAGCGCAAATGAAAATGAGGAATATCTTACTGGAAACTATAGAAAAGGCTATCTTTTTTTTTTTTTTTTTTTTTTTGAGAGCTTTTCACTATAGGGCGCGTGCGCTTGCCAGACAGAGAGAGACATAGAGACAGAAAGCGAGAAATCACCCCCCAGGGGGATGGTCATGCTGCAATCCCTTCTCCTCCATTCTCCTCTCGGGATCTTGGGCACGCAGGCACACGCGCCCGGCGTGAGTTCTAAGCCACCGGGTCTGGGATGCGAACTGCGGTCGACTACGTGGGAGTCCAGCAACGTAGCCATTATGCTAACTGCTGGTTCCCAGAAAAGGCTATCTTTTTTATACCATTGCAAGAAAAAATTGGCTGTATTGCATCCATGCCCTAAGGCGTGTGGAATGCATAATTTAATAGTGATGATTATCAAAAGATATTTTAACTGGGTAAAGAATTCTAGCTTGATAATATGTATATATTTTTTACTTTAAAAATATTTCACTGTCAGGAACCAGCAGTTAGAGTAATGGCTATGTCGCTGGACTCCCACCTAGTTGACCATGGTTTGCGTCCCGGACCCGGTGGCTTAAAACTCACGCTGGGCGCGTATGTGTGTGTGCCCAAGATCCCGAGAGGAGAATGGAGGAGAAGGGATTGCGGCGTGACCATCCCCCCTGGGGGGTGATTTCTCACTTTCTGTCTCTATGTCTCTCTCTGTCTGTCTGGCGAGCGCACGCGCCCTATAGCAAAAATCTCTCCAAAAAAAAAAAATAAATATTTCACTGTCTTCTGATTTCTATTGTCTGTCATGAGGTCTGGTTTTAACCTTACCGATGTTTCTCTGAATGTGCTTTTGTCTTTTTCTTTGATAGCTTTTAAGATTGTCTTTTCATTGGGGTAGGCCTGGTAGTGCACTGATTAAGCACTATATGGAGGGAGTCAAACCCCACAGAGCCAACTGTGGTTCAAATCCTGGACCTGGGGGACCAGCAGTTAGTGTAACGGCTATGTCGCTGGACTCCCATGTAGTCAACCACGATTCGGGTCCCGGACCTGATGACTTAAACTCATGCTGGGCGCACGTAAGTATGTGCCCAAGATCCTGAGAGGAGAATGGAGGAGAAGGGATTGCGGTGTGGCCATCACCCCTGGGGGGGGGTGATTTCTCACTTTCTGTCTCTCTGTCTCTCTCTGTCTTTCTGGCGAGCGCATGTGCCCTATAGCAAAACCTCTTAAAAAAAAAAAAAATCCTGGACCTGGCAGCTTGAAACACATGCTTAGTATCTGGAATTTTGACAGGAAAAAGGAATGGAGGAAAGGGCATTATGGCATGACCAGGACCCACTGGGGGGTGCTTTTCTCTTTCTCCTTCCAGCCCAATGCACAAAAAAAAAGTGTCTCTTCATCATTGATTGAAGGCAATTTGACTTTTATGTGCCTGGGTGTCTTCATGTTATATCTTCATGTTTCTTATTCTTGTAATTCATGGAAATTTCTGTAACAATGTGTTTATAGTTTTCATTATATTTGGAGAAACTTTGGTAATTATTTCTTCAAATATTTTTTCTACTCATCCCCATCTTTGGCGACTCCAATTAGAAGTGTGTTTGCGGCACCAGCAGTTAGTGTAATGGTTATGTTGCTGGACTCCCATGTAGTCAACCGTGGTTCGAGTCCTGGACCCGGTGGCTTAAACTCATGCTTGGTGTGTGTGTGTGCGTGCCTAGGATCCCGAGAGGAGTAATGGAGAAGGGATTGCGACATGGCCATCCCCCCAAGGGGTGATTTCTTGATTTCTGTCTCTCTGTCTCTCTTTCTGGTGAGCGCCCATGCCCTATAGCAAAAACCTCTTCAAAAAAAAGAAAAAAAAAAAAAAAGAAGTGTGTTTGCTCATTTGCATTTGTTCCAAAGCTCACTGATGCTCTGTTCATTTTTATTCCGGTCATTTTCCTCTCTGTAGTTCTTTCTGAATAGTTTTTAATGCTATGTCTTAGGGTTCATTAATATTTTCTTTTGCAAAGTCTAATCTACTGTAAATCTCACGGATGCATTTTCCATCTCAGATATTATAGTTTCATCTCTGTCTCTTTTCTTTTTCTTTTTTAATTAATTAATTAATTTATTTATTTTGGAGAAGTTTTTGCTATAAGGGCGCGTGGGCTCGCCAGACAGAGAGAGACAGAGACAGAAAGTGAGAAATCAACCCCCAGGGGGGATGGTCACGCTGCAATCCCTTCTCCTCCATTCTCCTCTTGGGATCTTGGGGATGCACGCACACGCGCCCAGCATGAGTTTAAGCCACTGGGTCTGGGATGTGAACCACGGTCAACTACGTGGGAGCCCAGCGACATAGCCATTACGCTAACTGCTGGTCCCCCATCTCTGTCTCTTTGATTTAGGTCATTTTTTATACCTTCCGTGTCTTTATTTAACATGTTTAATCTTTCCTCTAGTTTAATGAACATAGGGTATAACATTCAATATCTTTAGCTACTAGTTCTATCATCTCCAGTTCTTTCATTTTCCCCCTTATGACAAAATGTATGAGAGAGAGAGAGATGAGCACTCATCTCAGGGTCTGATCATGCCATGATCCTCTTCGCCCATTCTTCCAGCCTGTCAGATCTTGGGCACTCGGGCACATGCCCAGTGTTTCAGGCTGTCTGGGTTGGGGATTCAAACTGTAGTCGCCATGTGGAGCCTGGCATCTCTTGAGAAGCACATTACCACTGCCATGGAGCGAGCACTCTAGGTCCCTTCTGATTGATTGCTTTTTTTCTCCTCATGATGGCTTGTCATTTTCTATTTCTTTGCAAGAGCCTTTTTTCCCCCTGGGGGGCGGGGGAGGGTGCAAAAATACAGGAAAAGGAGGGAGAGAGGGAGATAGGTATCTTTAACAGTGCCTTGCCCAGGCTGCCAGCCAGCCAGGTCAAGTGTGTGTGTCACTGTACCTGGCCTGCTGCAGCGTCACAACATAGCTCTCCCACGTGGCCCTGACCTTGCACAGAGGCACTGTACCACGTGCACAACCATGGCTTGGCCACATGCCTAATTTTTTTGATTGTGTACCAGATGTGGCGATTTTTCTCTGCTGCTGCTTGTATAGCTTTGTTCTCCTTTGATCATTCTTAAACTTTGTCTTGGGCCGAAGTTAAGTTGCTTGGAAACAATTTATTCCTTTGGGTCTTGTTTTCCTTTTTTTTTTTTTGGTTGGATTTAGGACACTAGTTAGCCTAGAAGTAACTTTGGGAAATTATGTAAACTAATTAGAGTAACTTTAAGCAAAATTCTTTTGTGTACTCTGTTTGAGGTTTTGTGAATTGCTAGGTTTTCTAGTGGGGCTAGAATAAACAGG